CCCCCTCTCCCCCCTTCTCCCTCCTCTCTTAACAAGCATCTAAAGTGTGGGTTTCGTTATGTGGACCTGTTACCGCACGGTGCTGACGCGAGCGCTTGTTGCAGGAGTTACACGTCGCAGCGACTCAGTGTGCCCGGTATGCGGCAACTACTACAAGTACCGCCGGTCCATGTACCGCCACCTGCGCAGGTCCGCTCAGTGCCGGGATGCCGCCGCCGCCCTCGCCTGCTTGCATCCCGGCCTGGTTGCCGACGACTCTTGACTCCCGACTCCCGTGACATTTTGGCTCATTCTGAAGACTGATTGTGCAAAAACTGGTCCTACACCCAGTTTCAAATATTTGTTTGTTATGTCTCGTTTTATGTCCAGTCCTATGTACAGTAAACTTTGAAACTCCTCCTCTTTGGAGCAATAAATGTCTTTAATGTCTAGCAAATGCCTACATGGATCTGAATTTTAGATAACATTTACCTTGTCAAAGTCTGAAAACTTGTAAGTGGTATGTCGCAGCCGAGTCCCAAAGTACGACTTGCTCTTGGCGTGAGTTTTTATATTTTTTTAAGAACTGTTTCTAATATCTTACATTGCTTCCAGGTTCGGAGTTTCTGATCCAAGCGTTCGTCTGCACTCTATGCTCCAAGTCCTACAACTCCAACAAGTCTCTAATGAGGCACATCCGTTACGAGTGCAACAGAGAGCCTCTCCAGTTTTGTCCCTTTTGCCCACACCGCACGAAGCTCCGGGAGAACCTCAAGAAACACGTCCGCAACAAGCACCCTTCCGCTGGTCCTATATAATTAGTGCTCGTAACGCTGCGTATTCTGTTCACATTCACGGCATTATACCGATGCCCTGTGCTTGGGAATACTGTGCGTGGTGGCATTCTGGTCTGCAATAAATATGAAAGCAAACTCCAAATTTGCCTCCTTTTCTTAGCCAGCTGCTTGTAGCAACACCATGTTAGTTGTGTCCCTCAAAGGGCAGTATTGAGAATGCTTAGATTAGAAAACTATTTTTCTCTAGTAGATTTTTTATATTTTACCCTTTCGGTACTGCATTAGATCTAACAGTCTCCCTCTTCTGTCCACAGTGTGGCGCGCTGATTCGTTGCCAGTGGTGCTGCCGACTGTCCTGGGCGAGCAGGACGACGACGACGACGGCCAGGACGACGACGTGAAGCCGTTTGCACCAACGCGCGCACCGCGGCCGCACTCAACCTCATCGTCGGCGACGTCCGTGATCCGGGGGCCTTCTTACCACGGTGGACGCTGGAACGACCCGTCCCCCGCGCCGTCACCGACCCTGGAACCCCCCGTGCCCCTCCCCAGGACATCGCTGCCGACCATCGACTTGACGCAGTTCCTCTTGTGATATGAGTAGCTCCCGCGCGGCTACGCCCGGGCCGGGCCAAGGGGCTGGGCAGACTGACTGAGGGGTGGCACTGGTGACCAAGGGCCTCTCCTAAAGGGTTTCTCGTAACTCCTGACTGTACAAACGACTGTAAAAACAGACTGATTTCAGACTGAGGCAACTTGTCGCCCGTCGTCCCCAGGTCACCCCTACCCCTCAGTCAGTGCTGTGTGTGATGACCGCTTCCCGCCTCGCAACATGCCTTTGTGGTCAATGGCGTGGGAGTTAAACTGAACATTTCTGGATGTGTTGTGATATCAATGCGCTTAATCACTTGGCGAAGTTGAAAGCGTTACCTTCATTGTGATAAGCTTTTCATATCCCGACTCTTTCACTACTGTGGAAGCTCTAAGTTGGCGTTGTGTGAAGTATGATATATGTATACTTACCATTTTTATTATTACTATTACTGACGAAAATTAATCAAGTGCTGGTATCTCGTATCTGTGCATAGCCTCATTTTGGGGTAAAAGTCTTTAGTATCTTATGTGAGTTGTTTGGTTTTGCTGCTTCCTTGTGACGCAGATTGTGTTTTTATTTGTGGTCGGTATGTTGACCGATGGATACCACAACATGTGTTCACTAATATTTATCTATAAGTACATATGTAAATAGACTGTCTTATGAAACTAAGTTTCTATTTAAGTAGCAGAAATCATAGACTTAAATGAAATTTCTAGTCAAACCGTTCCAAACTTGTCACGTTTTATAGTCTGATTTGTACAATGTGTTCATCTTGTTTCCGTTCAGGAACTGACTAACGTTACCTTTAAGAAGTAGGGTATAAATAACTGCCATTCCCTCAATTTCTCAATGACCATAACTTTTTCATGACCAGCAGAGTTGGGGATCCTATTGACTGCAAAGTATTGATATGTTATGAGCACACACTGTTAAGTGTCTCTTACTACTCAGAAATGTGTAACCCACTGATTTTGTCCTGCCTAAAGACTATCTCATTATGTATGTGTATGCTCCTAGTCAACTCTTTTTCCTTGCTTCTATGTGTATAGGTCATTTGTAGTCTTTCGTGTTTCCGATGTAGAATAAAATATCTCCTACTTCACGGTACTAGTTGTGTCCGTTTGTTCCCCGCAGAAGATCCTCACGCTGAGGCGAGCGCCTGGCGGGTAGGCAGTTCTGTTACGCACCCGAGTACCGCGGGCTGGCCTACCCTGAGATTGACAGGCTGAAATGGCGCAGACCGCTGCCGTTTCTTTTTAAACTCCCATCTGACTTTATGGTTTCCGTGTTCCAGATTTCTACTTCGTCCGACCTAGTCAGGGCAGCTACGCGTGCCAGCGGTGCGGCAAGCGCTACCGCCACAAGCCCACCCTCTACACGCACTTGCGCTTCGAGTGCGGCAAGGAGCCCCAGTTCAAGTGCCCGCACTGCCCGCAGCGCTCCAAGCGCAAGACCACGCTGCACTTGCACATCCGCCGCATGCACGCCCAGGACCGCTAGGCTGGGGTCTGGCGCGACTAACGGCAAGTGTGTGTTGCAGAATGGTGGCTGTTGGCGCCCGGCGCGGAGCACGGCCACAGCACGCGGCGCAGGGGGCGACCACTCCAAGAGCCTCAGCATGACCCTCAGCACGACGCTCAGCACGAGCCTCAGCAGAAGTTCCCGTGCGCGCTCTGCGGCCAGGTGTACAAACACCCGTCCTCACTGTCCAAACACCGGCGCTACGAGTGCGGCATCGAACGCCAGTTCTCGTGCCCTTTCTGTCCACACAAGGCGAAGCGCAAGCACCACCTGCAGCTGCACATCGGTCGCCACCACAAGAACCTTGTCGCGTGATTGCAGGCAGGTGCAGCGAGCGCTGCGCCAATGTGTTCGCTCTTTGTTTGCATTCCTTAAATCGCGTGTGATTTGTTCAAATTTTAGTTAAAGTTGTTTATTTATCTTGATTTTGAGGGGGCTTATAAAATGGATTGCGTTTATGCTAATTTTAGTGTTGTTTTTTTTTTTTTAGGTTTGTACTTAGACAGTTATTTATTTTTGTGCGTTTGTGAATAAATATTGTGATTCTCTTTTCGATTTTTTATAATATTTTTTACACAAGCTCACGTTATTGGACTTGCAAAGATGTATACATTTTAACAAGTTAACTGCAGACAGCGTTCTGACTTTAGGTGATTTATAGATGTTCGCGTCACCGTGCGGGTGTTATTAAAATAATATGTTAACTCGTTCAGTGCGGCTTGACCACTACGCGGTACATTTTTATGCCGCAGTAAACATGCTAGAGTATTAAACTAGTAAAGGTTGACCCCGCGGCCGGCCCCTCTCTAACGCTTGTGCCTGTGCCCCGCAGCGACCCGGTCCCGGTGGATGCTGTACAGTAGCGACGCGCTACCCGACTCTCTGTACCCGGCGCGCCGCTTCGAGTGCAGCGACTGCGGCAACGCGTACAAGCACGCCCAGAGCCTGTGGAAGCACCGCAAGTTCGAGTGCGGCAAGGCGCCCGCCTTCCCCTGCCCCTACTGCCCGCACCAGGCCAAGCGCAAGCAGCACCTGGAGCTGCACGTGACGCGCAAGCACGGCGACCGGTCCCAGTGAACTGAACAACTCTGTGTTATGTTTGTCTGATCCATGTCTACGAAATAAAGTGGTTTTCAACTTGCCAGCTCACCTTGCGCGTCTCTATAGCCCGCTTGTCACCCGCCACCCCCGCTCTCGGCGTGCCCCCACACCTCAGTCGATCTAACCACGCCCCTTCCTCGTGTCGCAGTCTGCCTGGTGAACGACTCCCAGCTGGACGAGATGAGGTACGTGTGCAGCTCGTGCGGCAAGGCCTACAAGCACACGCAGAGCCTCTGGACGCACCAGCGCTTCGAGTGCGGCAAGCCGCCGTCCTTCTGCTGCCCTTGCTGCCCGCAGCGCTTCAAGCGAGCCGGCCACCTGCGCCGCCACGTGACGGTGGTGCACGGCGTGCTCGGCACGGGCGAGCGCAGCTAGCGCCTGCAGGTGCGTACTCCGGCTGCACCAGCTGCAGCGCCGTGGTATAGTGCTAACACTCAGTCTGTCGCTTTTTCTCTTCTCCAGGTCGGCGCGTCGCCGAGCTAAACCTCTGTCCCTCCGCGGGGTGTGGTCACACAGTCACCCCCCCCCCTTTCCCCCTTTCCGCTTCTCTGACTGACTCTTTATTTTGCCCCACAGATTGGTTCGAGATTGCTCCCCCGCCGGCAGAGGCGTCGCCCTTTGTCCTGGCCCAGCCCGGCTACTCAGGCGGCGGCGGCGGCGGCGGCGGGCCCCACGGCAACCCCCACCTGGCCGCCCTGTCCCAGCCCACCCCCGGCGTGGGCTACAGCTGCCCGACCTGCGGCAAGACGTACCGACACCAGCCCAGCCTGTGGAAGCACCGCCGGTACGAGTGCGGCCAGGTGCCCCAGTTCCAGTGCCCGCTGTGCCCGCACCGCGCCAAGCGGAAGCACCACCTCGTCTACCACCTGCAGGCGCGCCACGGCAAGGCGCCCTAGCCCGCGCCCTAGCCCGCCTCTTGGTCCTGTTCAATAAAGCGTGTTCCTTCAACTGCGTTCCTTGTTCGTTTTTCTCTCCCATCCTTGCACGCTTACGCTTACCTTGTTCCAGATCACATGGTCCCTCGGCCTAGCGCCCGGTGGGTAGGCAGTTCTGTTACGCAGCCGTGGTCGGCGGGCATGCCTACCCCGTGGTTCGCAGGCGCTAGTGCGCTGCCGGCCGGCTCGCCTCTGGCCTCGCCCTTATGCTCGCCCGGCCCGGCCCGGGCCCTCGCACTCTGTCGCTAACGTCTGCTTCTCTTTGACCGCAGGCTGGACGATGGCCAACCGCTCCACGGCGTTCATCGGGCCAGGGCCGCCCTTCTCGTGTCCGCGGTGCGGCCGCAAGTACCAGTACTCCACGTCGGTGCGCAACCACCTGCGGCTGGAGTGCGGCCAGGAGCCGCAGTTCCCCTGCACCATGTGCCCGTACCGCGGCCGCCGCAAGCACCACCGCGACAACCACATGATCAGCATCCACAACGTCCACCCCGACTGGCCCAATAACCAAGCCTAGCCGTGTGCGCGGAACGCGGAAATGTATATCCCGTATTATACAAAAATTGTATTTTCGAAATTTTCAGATCAATCGACACTGTTATTGTTTTTGTGAAATTTCGTGTATTGTAAATTTTATTTTTATCTGCTGAAATGGCCCAATTAAATAGCTGATTTGGCTTACAGAACTGATATGTTTGCATGCTCTTGACCGACCTGCCACCCCTGCAACTGGGTGCGAATGCCGCCTCCTCTAACGCTCTTTGCTTTCCCTCCGCAGGATGGACAGACTCGACGCTCTGGCGCCAGGAGATGGCCGTGATGCAGGAGGCGTGGCTCAGCCGGCGGCAGCAGCAGCGCTTCTCGCAGATGGGCGCCGGCCAGCACACCTGCGCGCGCTGCGGCCGCTCCTACAAGTTCCTGCCGTCGCTCCGCAACCACCAGAAGCTCGAGTGCGGCATGGAGCCGCAGTTCGCCTGCCCCTACTGCATCTACCGGGCCAAGCGCAAGCACCACCTGGACAGCCACCTGCGCACCCAGCACCCCAACAACGCCTGAGAACGGCGGCGCCCGCGGCGGGCCGAGCTCGGCGCGCGGCTGGCCGCCACCGCGACGGCCTCGATGTCAGTCGTCTGGACCTTGTGTGTCCTGTCCGCCCCGCCCTCGGAGTCGTAACCACGCGCGTGTATGTGATTCCAGACTGGCCAGGGGTCGCTGCCGACGACGACTACCCGGCGGCGTGGCCGGGCGGGGCGCCCGAAGGGTACGCTGCCGGCGCGGCGGGGGCTGGCCCCAGGGCGGCGGGAGGGAGCTTCGTGTGCGCGCGCTGCGGCCGCGCCTACAAGCACCTGCCCTCGCTCCGCAACCACGTCAACATGGAGTGCGGTATCGAGCGCAAGTTCGCCTGCTCCTTCTGCGACTACCGCGCCCGCCACAAGCACCACCTCTACGGCCACCTCAAGTCCAAGCACGGCGCGCTGCTACAACACCAACGCCCTTAAGACTGTTGGTCTCCACCAGTCTCTATTTAGTCTAAGATTTTATTTATTTTATTTTGAGTACGAGTCCTTGCTGAGTGGCATTGTGAGCGTTAAAAATAAATGTCGTCCGACTGACCTCTGGACTCTTTTTGGAATCTCCCGCCCCCATTTCTCCAGTGTCTAGTTCTGTCCAAACTTACGCCCCCTCTTTTCTGACCAGGCCTCTTTTGTCTCGTGGAAGGGGCGGGCGCAGCGGCTGCTGGCCCCGACGTGATCCTGGTGGAGGGTGAGCGGGTCGGCGAGCAGCGCTTCCGCTGCCAGCAGTGCGGCAAGGTGTACATCTGGGCCAAGGGGCTGCGCGACCACCAGCGCTACGAGTGCGGCAAGGAGCCCCAGTACCAGTGCCCCGAGTGCGCCCTGCGCTTCAAGCTGGTCAGCAACCTGCGGCGCCATCTGCGGCGCCAGCACAACATGGACGTCCCCAAGAGCCACAAGGGCCACCCTGGCCGCAGCAGGCACCTCGCCGCCGTCAAGGGCCTCAAGGCAGAGAAAGTGGACTAAAGCTGGCCCAGGAGGCTTGGGCCCGGGTGCCGCCCTCTTGCCAGGGTCCTTGTTCTTGTACCACAAAACATACCATGTATACAATTAAGACGGCCTGCTGGCAAGGATTCTTTGGAAAATAAAATGTTATGGTTACATTATATTTGTGTTAACCTTATGCTGGTTTCTCGCTCGCGTGCCTAGATTATGAGTCATTGCCAACAGTGACAACCGTAATTATGAAATTGTGCTGTAGTCAGCCAGGGCTCTGATCCCCATTTTCTCACTGCAGGCCCGTGCAGGTCTGTGGCGGGGGCGAGCGGCTACGCCCAACGGGGCGGGGCTGCGGCGGCGTCCTCGATGTTCTTCTGCGGCGCGTGCGGCAAGGGTTACTCCTGGGCCGCGTCGCTCAAGGGGCACCAGCGCTACGAGTGCGGAAAGGAGCCCCAGTTTGCGTGTGACTACTGCCCGCTCAAGTTCAAACTGCGGGGCAACCTAAAGCGCCACCTACGTCAAAGCCACAACATGGCCCTACCCAAGGGTCGTTGGTAGAACGGTTAGGCCCGCTTTCAGTTCAGTGTGGAAATGCTTTCTTTCAAATACAAAACAATAAAAAGAACTTATTTTAATATTAAAATTAAAATAACGCTGTGTGTACTTTCTTGTACATCTGACCTCAATCAAAAACAACAAATATTATCTTATCCCGTGTAAATATTTAGTATTATCCTGTCCCAATAATCTCCTAATCACAGCCCATGCTAATAACTCGTTTACTGTCATTTTGCAGGATGGAGTGGAGCGGAGGATTTTGGTGCATTCAGCCTCCACGCGCAGCCGGCGATGGATCCTCTGGGGGGCTTCGGGCCTGCTTTTGGTCGCCCCAGGGGCGAGTTTGAGTGCCCCACATGCGGTAAAAAGTACCTGCACCGGTCGTCGCTTTCCCACCATACGCGTTTCGAGTGCGGCAAGGAGCCCCAGTTCAAGTGCCCGCACTGTCCACACCGCTGCAAGAGGAAAGGGAACTTCAGGCGCCATCTTCTTACTCACGACTCGACTGACTGACATGCAAATATACGCCAAGTTGGCCGAGCTGAATGTTTTATTTCTCCCCTTCACCCCGAGCCGCCCGCCCGCTGGGTAGGCAACCCATCCTACTCCAGTGAGCTCGGTTGCTCTATCCCGCCCCTTCCTCACCATGCCCTTGCTTGCGCTCTAATTCTGTCATTACCCTGTTGCAGGATCAGGCTGGCCCCCGGCTCACTTTCCTCATTCGCTGTACGGTCAACTCTGGCCCGTCCGACGCCCCCCAGGCAAGGGCTTCCAGTGTAAGGACTGCGGCAAAGTGTACAGCCACCAGCCTTCGCTCTGCAAGCACAGGCGCTTCGAATGTGGCAAGGAACCTCAGTTCCATTGCCCGTACTGCCCTCACCGAACGAAGCACAAGCATGCCCTCAGATCCCACATGAAATCCCAACACGAATGGAAACAAGAGACTTCGCCACCAGGTCCAACGCCAAGTGCACCATCACAACTGATGCCCGGATTCTCTCAAGATAGCTTTCAGTTTTAACTGGCTCCCACTTGTCTTTTCATGAATTCTGTGTTGTTCTACCACTGTCTTCAGTTTCGAATAAAGACAATCATTTCTTGAATGAATCGTTTCACTAATGAAACCCAATAAAAACTTACATTTCTTTTATAATGAATCTTTCGGAGAGAAGTGCAATCATCCCCAACTTAGCATCTCTGACACCTGTTCAAATCTGACTTGCTCCTGATGAGAGACCTCCCAACTACGAAGTATTTTCAGCTAAATATATTCTAGCATATCAATTTGGTCCTTTGACATTTAACCACCTTAACACAGATTTGATATTAAACCAGTTAAATAAATTGAGCCACGATTGAAGACAGCGCAGTGTGCAGCTGGTCTAAAAGTAAAAGGATTGCGAGCATCCTCAAAGCAAAATGAATTTGAGGTAAAAGTTGTCAGGCGCTGAAGGGCGCAGTGGGCAACTGGTCTAAAAGTAAAAGGACTGCGAGCATCCCCAAAGCAAAATGAATTTGAGATAAAATTTGTCAGGCGCTAAAAAGCGCAGTGGGCAGCTGGTCTTTAGAAAAATGACAAGCACCATCATAAAGGCCAAGTTAATTTGAGAAAAAATAATTCAGAAACAAGAAGTTAAGACCGCGCAGTGTGCAGCTGGTCTGAAAGGAGAGGGAATGCGAACATCCTCATGATCAAAACATCAGAGCAAATTACTTGGGTGCCTAAAAGGCAAGACCGCGCAGTGTGCAGCTGGTCTACAAGGGAAAGATAGGCAGGCATTCTCATGAACCCTTTATCATAGCAAATTAAACTTTACGTCAGAACAATTTATCAGGTGCCACTATCTTCACCAAGACAAGACCGCGCAGAGTGCAGCTGGTCTATTGGGAAAAGGATCGCCATGAGTATCAATTTAAAAACTGAAATTGCTATGACCAAGGTTCCATAAGAAGGCTGTGAATAGAAAAGAAAATTAAAATTCAGATTAGGCATTTATTTTTTCAAAAATACAGGATTGTCTTGAGGCAGGTTTCGCTGAATCTTGACATCTTCAGTCTTCGATCTTCATTGGTAAATTTTAGTGTTGTGGATATAATATTAGGTTACTTGTTGCCAGGCAGGTGAATGTTTGAGATTAAAAACGAAATAAAACTGGCATCAAGTAAACCCGATATCTGGTTAAAAACCATTGGAAAGTGTAACAAGCGGGTTGTTTTCAGCATGAGCCGAGTGTGAAACAGTGTAAGGTTACAGGGGCACTCATTAAGAAAGGAGACTGTCAAAATATGTGGACTGTTCAGCACAGGCAAATTAAAGGGAAAAAAAAAAAAAAAATGGGAAGTGAAGTGACAGTTTCCTTTCTTGAAAATCTTAACCTAATAGAAAAATACTCACATTAGACATGAAGAGCCACGGACCACAGACTGGGTTGAATGATCTTCATGCCTCAAAGGGCGTCTTCATTTCACGAAAGCCAGGGGAGGGGGAAAAAAATCTTGATCGCGACGCGAACCAAAGCTAGTGCCCCAGGAAACCGGAGACAATATATCACTTTAAAATTAAAGAAAAGGATTAGCAAGGACACCAATCCACTAGTGAACACTTGAACTCTCATTCCTACAATCAGCATGTCAATGTCCCCACGGCTGCAACCAATTTGCGAGCTCCCTGACAAGCCACAATCTAATCACCTCTACAGAGACATTATAACATCGCTGAAATAATCATGAGAGACGTATGTGCAACTTGTAGACAGATATCACCTGCTACCCAAAGTAAATCAAATTAAGATAACAAGATAATTGCTCCAGTGAATTAAAATTAAGTTAGAATATCAATAAAGAAATTGTAAGGCAAAGTTAAAAATTCAGAAGTGAGGCATTAGCTTTGGGGAGAACGAAATGAGCGCAAATGAGACTTGAACAAAAATTGAAGAGACTGCTCGTTCATAGCGAACTAGAGCCACCCATTACTCGGGTCATGCAGTCAAAAACCTAGAAAGAAAGGTTAGTACACCAAAACAGCAACAATTAAGGAACCCATAGCTGATTTTAGCACGATTGACAATGTGGAGCTCAAAACTAGCAAATTGATTTAAGATTGAGAAAGAAAGATTACCATATGAGATCCTGGATTTGAAGAGCCAGAGGGGAACCAGTTGAAAATCAGCAGAACCATCTTCAGCAACTATTTGCTCTTCAAGTAATGCCATCGTTAAGGTCTCTTGAGACTTACCATTGAACCCATAATAATAAACTGTTACCCTCCCGTTAGCCTATGTCACGCTGGTCAACTCGACCATGTACAGCACAAGAAAAAGCTTTTGAATCCCAAGGCCAACATGCAACCTTCAGCCCAAAGAACAATGCAGCACCATGTACCATCACCAAAATACAAGACTATCCCAAGCTACAGGTTCAAACTACAAGACTCTGCAAATGATTCATGAATACGAACATTCACAAACCATTAACAGAGCAACAGCAATGCAGTCAGGCGAATGGAATTAATGAAAAATAAAAAAATGAGACCTCATTCCCGAGTGCATTGCTGTTACCCTTGAAAAAGAGGTGCAAAAATAAATACAAATATAAACTGAAATTTAACTGAAGAAATATTGAGAAAAATAGAGCAAAACCTCTTTAACAAGGGCAATGTGGTGAGACACAGATACCTGTGCTTACCTTGGGCATTAGCACCTGAATCTTGATTGGCCATGTATACATCTTCCCCATCATCACCCTCATAATTCCCTGGAACAAAGTAAATGCAATTAGTACAGCAGGAAAACGAAGCACAACTTCAAAGGCATGAGAGAGAGGGGGAGAGAAACCAACCTGATCCTCTAGCATGTGAAGGTCCAGCTCTAAACATACTATCGTCATCATCCAAATGCAGGTCTTGAGCGTCGTCATCCAGGTACTCAGTTTTGGGTTCGATAAGAACATTGTCCCTATCTCTTATCACATTTTCTTGAAGTGGCACAGTATTGTTAGCACTGGTAATTCCACTATCAGTCGCATTTTCAGTCTCAGTACTCTCCAAAATTGAAGATAACAGATTATCATCTGAAGGACCAGACGCAGGCACAGTTGGTAACATGTCTTCATTGTTGACAGTTGGGCCAGTTACAGGGGCAGCTGCAGCTGATGATTGCTTCCCATCAGCAACATTGCTCGAATTGTCATGATCTGAACCATCTGATCCTCTCCGCCTCCTTCGTTTACGTAGACTAGGTGAGACGCTTCCATCTCTTGATGAGTTGTCGTCGGCTAAATTTGTTGTCCTAACTGTTAATTGTTGATTAGAGCGTACAGAGACTGGGGCACCCTTTGCTGTCCTCTTCATTGAACCTGTCCCTCCAGAGTCAGGCGGATCTGTTCCTCCATCTGAAAGGCCTTTGATCTGAAGGCTTTCGGCGGCTCTTAGGAATGTATTTAGCTTGTCTTGAGCTACATTGACTTCTCCTCGATACATGTAATCCATCATAGCCTTCAGCTCTTCGAACTTGACATCCTTCAGGAGGAGGATAGGATGTTTGTCGTAGTGCTTGCTCAGCAAATCCTGGAGACAATAAAACGGCATGAGCATGATTCAAGAAAACAGGACAAAGTATAGTTTTCAAGAAGCAAGTATTAACACCTCGCCAAGCATCGTAACGCAAGGCCCCATTGAAAGTACACTGGGGCATAGAGTTAACAGGCCTGAAGGGATGAATAATGAAAGATATTTACCTCTAAGTAAGGACTGCATGCTGACAAGACGACTTTGTGCGCCTGCAGAGATTGGCCCTCTGCTGCAAGGGTACAATCGACCATACATCCTCGCTCTTGAAGGGATTCAAAAACACTAATAAGGGTAGTCTGGTGATTGTTCCACCTTAAACAATACTGCTGATCTGCCATCTTGACCTGCAACAAAACAGCCACATTAGCGATGATAGAAAAACTAGAGGTCAGGCCTACACCAATAATTACGCTAAAATAAAAACCCAGAGGGGAGAGAAGAAAAATGACGAAACTAGTAAAACATCCAATGTAACACAAAAAGGGTGAAAGTAGCCCCTCGACAGCTCAGCACTCAGCAACGACACTACCCCATTTGACCACCGAGGCTCACACGGCACACCCCGGGTCTCGCTACGATAACAGCTAGAAACCACGCAGAAGACCCACTGTATTAGTCAGAAGTACCAATGAGCCACGCAGAACGTAACTTTCAAGGAACAACCCCGTATGGAGGACGCCCCACTCTACTCGACATGAGCTGAGCACTCCAGGTCCGCTAACGGGCGCAACCACAGGACAGAATGAATTTAAAAGTAGTGCAAATCAGTGAGAGCGCGTTAAAAACGCAAATGAAGTTGTCCGATACATAGTGTGGAAACGTACAAACGCGTTGAAAAGAACAATGTGAGGCAGGGCGGGACACGAGGGGACGCCACCGCCATGACACACGGGGCTTTCTCCAGAACTCAACGTGCGAAACGACCCAAAACGGTCACGAACTCGACCAATTTAATACACGAAGTGACAGGGAAAAGAGAAAAGGCGAACGAAGGCTGATATAAGACAGAAGAAAAGACTTCAAACTTACATTTCACTGATGACAAGAGGAATGAGCACACATCGAAGTTCACAGGCTGAGGGCTGGCGTTGTTGTGAGGAACATGGCAAAGCCGAGCGGTGTCTTCGCGAAACGGTCCCCCCACCCCTCTTTCTCAACCAATGAGATGCTCCCTTTCGTGTGAAGGATCTCGTCGGAATCAAGACAGATAGTTTAAAAAGTCGGTTTTACCCCGAGTGACTATTTTCATGGATTCTAAATTTATGTCGTGATTTAAATTTAACAAATTCGATCGACTTAAGGTCCAGTTGAGATCAAATTCGTTCACATGGCAAATAAGCTCCCAACCATCACTCGTGATTGGCCAGAGCCCAGTTGCCTTCCGTCATTTCCGACAAGACAGAAGTCTGGCTATTAACCGTCAATTTAAACGCAAACTGGTCCTTCAAACATCCCTAAATGCGGAAATGCAAAATCTTAACAGATATAAATGTGGTTTCATGAGATACATCGGCGTATTTCGAAAATATGAAAGTATGCCGGCTGGTGAACTCTGTGCGCATGCGCGATCGGTCCGCTCGTGCCGGTCCTGGAGGCTGCTGAGAGCTCAAAGATGGCGTTCAAATTTCAATGTGATCGAAATTTTAGCACGAGGGTTGCTATGCTCAGCGTATCACTTCTACCTTACTGCACGTGATTTTTATTGATGATGTGCATAGTCGCATTTTTTCTCTATACACACTATGCACACTAACTGAGCACCAACAAGTGCTGCTTATTAATGTTTTGTCATGTTTTGTCACTCATTCACAAACACAGTCCTAGAGCTTGTGGTTATGCCCCGTTTGGGTACATCCGGCATTTATTTAATTTAATGTATTCTCTTGAGATAACCCAAACCATGCCAAGTCAAAAGGTAAAAGGCTAAGCTGAATTGAAAAATTGAACAGAGGAATGGAGAGCTTGGAAGGGCGTGGTATATTTTGTGATACAATACTTTTGTACAAAGACCGGCGTTCGCCCCAAAACTGTGTTCATTTTAGTACATGGTATAAGTTATCTAATCTTTTCCATATAGCTTTGAAGTACCCTTCCTTAATTTTGCGCTGCTTGTGCGGCTTATTCCTTTCAAATCTGCCGCTTCTTCAACCCCGTTACCCCTTCCCCCTTCCCACCTCCTGCCTCGACTCGAATCAGCAGCACCACTGTACAAGGCGCAGACTTTGCGTCCGACTGTCTGTCTAAAGCCTGAAAATTCGCGATTTTCGGTGTTTTTTTGCATAGAGAAATCGTTTAGTTCTATGCTAGTGACTCATACGAGAAAAGGATATTGTTAACAAGAAACGAAGAAGTGTTGTCAAGTGTGTGGAGTCGCTTGTTCAACCTTCGTTAAAGGTGGACTTGAGACGTGGAACTAACCTCTTTTCATTCTCCTTTCACTTGACGGTGCTAGATAGAATGGGGGAATGCTTGTTGATCTATTATTCTCTTTCGGATTAAAAAGATATTCTACGTCAATGAACAATTTTTCTACTGTTAAGTGTTATTGAAGCACTGCTCGCTGTCAAACTCATTAACTAGCCGCCGTTTTCTGTCGTATGTTATTGTGTACTTTCACTTCAAGAATCATGTTTTGTTTTTAATTTTGGCTCTTGTTTCTATCGTTTGTTAGTCTTCAGTCTTAAATTTTTACATCTGTGTGTCAGACCATGCGAAATGAAATGTGAAGTATTTTGTTGTCTGCTATTTTGTCTCAAAACATAAATGTTAATCCCTGACATGTCAAGTGTTTAGCCAGACTTTTTCTGTTATTGCTGGGTGTTACATGCTGCATTTTATTTTGCTTTTTCTGCATTATTTTAATTTGTTTCTCTATACTAAAAAAATATTACTGCACTTATTTTTGCTGCAGCATCAAAACACAAATTTGTGATGAGGTGTCAGGTTTAGAAAACATAACCTTCCATGCTAGTCACTATTGGTCTGCTAGAATCACTTCCCCAGGTATACTTAAAATTCCATTATTTTCCCTTTATGTGCGTGCTTGAAGATCACACTTGTTTAATTCATCTTTGCGACTAGGCTTCGTTTGTAAAAAGAAGTCACTTCTTTGTAAGTTGAATTCATAGAGAAAAAAATGGTAAATTCTGTGGGGAGAGAAACAGGTTGCTTTCTTCCATAAAATTTTGTCTTCCCTTTAATTTCCATTCAATTGTGTTGTGTATTATGGTGGTACCAGGAGAGAAGATGTATCAAGACATGTCATATCAAATTTCTGCAGCTGGTGAGTTATGGAACAATTCCATTTAATTATTTTCATTGTTTGCAAGTTTTAATTAATGAATGTACTGTATTATTATTATTTTTTCAATATCTACCTTCTTGATGCCATTTCCCATTTCAATATAATTTTGGGGGACAACAATCCGACTAGCTCAATTGGAAGAGCGTTGGCTGTGTGCCAAAGGTTCTGGGGTCGAATCCCAGGTCGGATATCCCTTTTTTCCGCATCCTAATTATGATTTGCACTTTTCTTTGACCTCTTCCCTTTATCTTAGGACTCCTGCATGCACAGACCTCAGCTTTCAAAGATGTCTGAAAGTATCAGTGTTCAACAATTTGCAATTTATCTGTTTTTTCCCTGTTTTGTTTTGCTAAAAGTGTGGTTTTCAGAATTTTTTTGGCTGTTTTTCCTGCATTGGTTGTGTCCTCTTGTGTATGAGTGCCAAGATATTGTTTGAGCGATTAGTTTACGTAGATGTATACATTTCTCCTGTCTCATTCACAGAAAACTTTATGGGTAATTAGTCGAACCTCACTTTGGTTGTTATATTCCTCGAAGGTGTTTGATGAGATAAATGAAGTTTTGATAATTCTCCATTTCAGATCTAAGTTTAATCTTTAAACAGAATTTAGACTCTACCTAAAGAGCGAAAGAACTTGCACTAATTCTGAGTGTCTTTTCAGAGGACAACGAGAGATTGTGGAATGACAACCACACTGACAGTATTGATGAGGACTTGTCAAATGATGTTGATCATTTCTCAACGCTAGATGAATATTACAAGCACTGCAGTACATTTCTAGACTGGGGAAAGCTACATGGTTATGGCCCTCAACATTTTGACTCTCCACCTGCTTCTTCCTTGTTACCAACTTCAAATGATGGCCTAAATGAAAACAAATCATTCCCATGTGATAGCTGTGGAAAGGTGTATAAATTAAGCTCATCCTTGTATAGTCATAAGAAATTTGAGTGTGGGAAGGTTCCAACCTTTAAATGCCTTTTTTGCCCCCAACGTACTTTTCAAAAAGGTAGTATGAAGAGACACATGAAGCGCATTCATAATTCTGATGCAGCACCTCTAAATGTCAAATGACGAGATGCCACAACAAATTAAAGTTATGTGTTTTTTACATGTTAGCTTGATATAACTTGAATTTGTGTATTCTTATTTATCCTTTTTACAATGAAATTCAACACTTCTGAGTAGACTGAAACTCAATTTAAATACATTTTAATTATAACTAGGTGTATAGATAAATTCAAAAGTTGTTTGTTGTCTTTATCATGAAAAAGAAATATCTACCTTCTCCAGCATATAAATCTTGCTTTCTTATTGCAACGTGTTTTATTTTTCCCTATTATCCAATATTGCGCTATAAATCTAAAGTAACTAGCATAAAATGCTGTTCAGGGGGTGAGGGATTGTTTGCTCCGATCTCTTTCTGTTTTTTTTTCCGAATGAACATTATGACAAAATGTATTTACAGCTCTTGAAACTGATTCATGAATGCTTACTTTATGCTTACTTCATTTGCAGCTTGGAGCCATGGGGACTCTAATAGCACAGCAGCTGAGAGCAGTGACCAACAAGATGCTCTCACAGTGTGGGCTGGAAATGCTCTTACTTACCCAGTACCTACTGACTCTGTGAAGAAGTTATACACCTGTGTAGAGTGCAATAAGAGTTATATGCGTTACACTTCTTTATACCGGCATCAGCGTTATGAGTGTGGTGATAAAGTCCCTGCCTTTTCCTGTCAATTTTGTCCTCATCGGACCAAACAGAAAGCAGACCTAAAAAGGCACATTATAAGGAAACATTCTGGCAATTCCTCACCTTAAAGACTTTGTTTTTCTGAAAATAAAATTGTTGTTTTTATGTATTAGTATTCTTTCTGTATTGAGCTCAGTTTTATTTCTAATTGAAATTAAAGAAGAAACATAAGATGCTGTTTGTTCCTTTGTAATTTCTTAGTGCTTCTTTGTCCTTCGTAACTGTACTGTGTATTTTTCATAAAAGAATCTTTTTAATTTGTCTTTTTTTCCAGGAGATTACTGGGCCCAAGAGGAGTTCCGTCTCTCTATTGACAAGAATAAAAATGACCATGTGTGTGAAATATGTGGAAAAGTCTATCTCCAGCGCCGATCATTATGGCGCCATAGGTCTTACGAGTGTGGAAATAAGAGACTTTTTACTTGTGTGTATTGTGATTGCAAATTTTCTCAAAAAATTCACATGGAGGGCCATATGCGTCGAAAACATTCTGAAATGTTTCCTACTTCTTGATGTCTTAAATGAGTTGTTGTTACTGATGGCCAATGTGATACTTTTTTATGTATCTTTTGTCAGATCTAACTTGAATTGCCTACTAATAAACTGAAATTGACCTAAGTTTTTATTTGTTTCGATTGAGATATCTTTAGACAGGTACATCAAAGAAAAGGTTGGGGAAATTGTAGTATAGTAAAATAAACTAGATGTAGTTTCACTCTTCAGAAGGTTCTGTCATTATACTGTGTCTCTTGAGTCTTGAGGGCCTTCTTAAATATTTTAAATTCAATAATTTATTTAATTTTTTAAAGTAGCTTGTCGATTTGTTGACATTATTTGCATGTTTGCACGTATATCACTGTCCCCACTTATTAACTTCTTTGCTTTCACTCTTTTAAAAGTCACTAAAAATTTTCAATTCCTAATCTTCCTTATCATGTGTCTGTTCTAGGTCAACTTGTAAAATCAGAGCTGAGTCTGTCTCAATGGCCATCACCTCCGTTTGCACAACCAGTTATTCCAAGGCACAGTGTGACTTCCACTGCGCCCGTAGATGGAAATTTTGCCCTATTTACTTGTCAGCGATGTGGAAAAGTATACCAACAGCTCCGTTCTTTGCATCGGCATCAGAAATATGAGTGTCATCAGAAGCCAAAATTTTCCTGTAACTTTTGCTCACTTCAAACAAAGCACAGAAGTAGCCTTGTGATACACATGAAGCGAAAGCATAATATGGGGCTGTCAAATTTCTTGTCAAATTAACTTTTCTGAAAATAAATCAATTTCCAAGTTCCATGGTCTTTATTGTGAGTGGTGTTATTTCATTACCATACATTTATGTATGTGTAATTTGTTCTGCAATGAAGGCAAAGGTCTTTTTAAAAATGGGAGTGCTGGAAAGGCTTATCTGTAACGATCCAATTTTATTCCTACTTGGTTTACAAAGATTTTTGCAATCTCTCATTAATGTTATTTTTTTTCAGCTATGCCTTCTGTATTGATCACAGATTCTGATCTTAATCGGCTATCAATTAGTTATGATGAAGAACAACTTAAGGAAATTTCTGCAGGTATTAAATTGGCCATGGGCAAAGAAATGGGAGTAGGCTGTCCAGAGTCTTGTAGAAATAGATGCCGAGATAAGTTTCACAACATTGAAAGATTGAGGGCTTTCACCTCATTCTGGACTTTGGTAATTTTTATCCCTATTACTTTGTCCTTCTAATCTTTTTTACCTTATTTAACTTAGACCTTCTGTTCAGGGTAGTAAAAAACATCAGCAGGAATTTTTGGAACAGCATGTGTACTCACTCCCAGTTCATGGCCGAACTGTTTCTGGCGATTCACCCCGAACAAGAACTCTTAATTATACATTCAATGTAGAAGGAAGCAGACTAAAAGTTTGTAAGACTATGTTTCTTCAAACTTTGGCTGTATCTGAAAAAACAGTGAGGAATGTTATGAGAATCAATTAGTAGGCAATGATCTGGTGTTGTTTTTGTTTTTGTTGATTTTAAATTTTTAGTTCATTTTAACAGTTACCTTTTGTATTTTGTAAAAGTCGTGTCATATGTTGAATTAGAATGTCAATGTCTATTTCGGTTTGTTCTTAGTTTCTGTCAATTCCTTTAAAACAATAAATATGTTAAATATTGTATATTAGAATGTGATTTACAACATGCCCAAAGTTTGCTTCTTCCTCACCACTTCCTGACCAAAATTTTAAATGGATTGTAAACCAATCATTATAAGTGTTGACTATTATTTCTTTGTTGCAGATTGTGATGACAATTGGCTTTCTCATGGGCCAAGTGACAGCTTTAGTGTCACTTCAAGAGGACTGGATGGTAGTATACCACCTACAATTTGGCGTCAGAGACATGAAGAAATCCGATCCCGTGACCGCACTTGCCCATATATTTGTACAGATTGTGGGAAGGGCTACCTTCATGACAGTTCCTTGTGGAATCACCGAAGATATGAATGTGGAAAAGATCCACAGTTTCAGTGCCCTCATTGTGCTTATCAAACAAATCGTAAAGGCAGCCTAAAACGACATTTGGTGAAAGTGCATTTTCCAGGATCAGAAAGCTCTGTAGAAAACAGGCAGGTCCAATCAACTAGCGCAAGTAGTTGATTTGTTTAAAAACCAAGCGACTTTCAAAGAGTAGGACTCTTATTTTTAGCACAAGACGTCTTAATATTTAACTCAACATGTTTTGTTATGTAGCTCCGTTTTGTGGGTGTGAATATTTGTAGTAAAACTTTTGAATCCATAACCTGGGAGAAAACGTGAGATTTTTACTAGTTTCCACAGATAAAATCATTCTTTCTTAAAGGAAAAAAATGTTATTGTATTGGACCCAGAACTTCACCTAAAGCCGTCATTCTATTGTGTCTTTATCAAAGAAGTTACGGCTCCTGACTAGTAGTGTGTATGGTTAACAGATGGGCTTTGCTGCATCTGAAGTGTAAGTGTTAATTTTTTTGAATGACACATTTGTCTACTCTAAAACTGATTGTTTTCTCCTTTACAAAGCATATTTTTTTCATCAATATTTAATAAACATATTTTCTGTGATATGATGTGCTCATTATAGTTCTGATTAAAGCTAAGAATACTGTGCCGCACTCATTGCATTTTTCTCCTCCAAATACTAAATAATCGAATCTTAAGGACTTTATTAGTTCTTTCTTGTTATATTTATCTAATATACCATTTTTGTACCCATTCCAGAAAGGTTAAGTCTGTGGATGAAACATGGAAGTCAAGATTTTTCGATGGAAACTATCTCCTCCATGACTTCTTCTCATATATCATCAGACAATGAGTTTCTGCGTCTGCCCTCAAGATCTTCTGCGACAGGTCCACCTTTTCAGTGCACTTGTGGTAAATCCTATCAACAATACCCATCCCTCTGGCGGCACCGGCGCTATGAATGTGGAAAAGTGCCTCTCTTTCATTGTCCATTTTGTGACTACCGTAGCAAGCAGAAAGCATACATGAAGAAACATGTTGAAAGAAGGCATGTTTATGAGGAGAAATCCATTATGAAGACAAACTATAATAATCAGTCATCAATTTTGTGAAGGTACAAGAGCAAGTGGGATTTTATGTTCTTGTATTGTAGGGTTTTAATAGCATCTTAATAATAAATTTTTAACCATGTCCATGTTTTCCATTTACAAAATGTCCTATCTACAATCAAAACATCTAAACATAATAAAAATCTTTAGCAAATATGTCAGCAAATAACCTTAAGATGATTATGAAACCTCAAGAAGATCCAGCAAATTGATACAAATCTCTCTTCTAATCTTGTCTGTTTCTTGTTTCAGATCAATATGTGGAAAGGTGGTTATCATCTCACCAGGACTGTGGAGGAAGTGAATCCAAGTACCCAACCCAAGCACATCAATGTGATACATGCAGTCGTGTTTATTCTCATCATCAATCTCTCAGAAATCATCAAAAGTTTGAATGCGGCAAAACTCCCCAATTTGCTTGTCCTATCTGCCAGTATCGTTGCAAACGTAAAGGAAACTTAAAATCTCATATGCGTCATGTCCATGCAAAGACTTTGCCCTGTTAGGATATATTTATACCTTTTCAAATAACTTTATACCCAATAAGATCAGAGCTCTGTGAAGTGAGTGATGTTTATTTGTTTCTTAATCTGTTTTCATGAATTATTTTGTCTCAGAGGAATGTGTTTTTACAAGGTGTATTTTCATTTAATACCTCACAAAATAAATACTATCTACCTCATTAATTCTGCTGTCTTATCTTTCTATTTATCTATTGTATGTTGCTTGTTGCATGCTATGCTTGTCTCTGTGTATTAAATATTTAGTGCTTATTAGTGCAGTACTTGTGTTACTCAATTGTACTGCAAAGATCTGTGATTAGATAAAAATCCATTTACCAGATTCTGATTGTTTTTTTTTCTTTCCAGGCCTGTGCTGGAAGGGGATGATTCATGACACACTAGTACTTCCTGTACGAAGTTCACATTTCATGCATGGACCAATGCCACGCAGTGGAGGCATGGGGGCATTTACATGTAGTGATTGTGGAAGAGCATATCAACAGTATGCTTCTTTGTGGAGACACCGAAACTATGAATGTGGTAAACTTCCTCAGTTTCGCTGTCCATATTGTTCACACAGGTCGAAACGTAAGAGCAATCTCAACAAACATATTAAAATTATCCATAATGTTGACATGGGTCACGTAGAACCAGGAAATTCTGATTCCGGTGCAAAGTATGAAGATACACCATAGTCAAACAGTCTCAAAACTGTTAAGAGTTATTTTTTTTTTTAAAATTCTGTATCATTGTGAGTCATAACATGTTTCATATTACTGTCTAAATATGTTTCTATTATTTCTTGGCCATGCTTATAGAAATATGTGACACAAGTGTTCAGGACGTTTGCAGATCATAACAATGTTTCAATCTGTTATAAATAGGTACTTAAAGTAACGTGTGAGTTTTGTCTAGTTCTATATTTAAGAAATCTTCATGATTCTGTAATGTATTTGAAAAACATGTTTTTGTGATCAACTTCCAATTAAGTGAATCTCCTCTTGGAATTTGGGGATTTGATGCTGTTGCTAGTGTGAGGTTCATGTTAGACATTCAACGGAAATGCTATCATTCGTACAGTTTATTACAGAAGTATTCTCTGCATATGTCTTAACAAGCCAGTTGTACTACATGTTCAAGAGAAAGGAGAAATTTTTTGGAACAAATTTTAACTTTGCTCTAATTTATTTTGTACAGCGATAATTATGCAGGTGCCTCTATTATGAGTTTCTTCAACTTCAAAGCACACCTAAAAGGCCATTTGTATATGAGTTGTCGATGGTGGACATTTTCTTTGCTTTGTTCTAGATAAAATGTTGAGTAAATTTTCAGAATCATTTCATTGACAATCAAAAGTTTTTTGTTACTCAAGTTTTAATAGATGAGTATCTATGCATTGGTCAGATCATCTGCTGTAATTGTATTCTGATACTTGTGATATTTCTTCTATCCGCTACATACATTTATAAGGATAATTCTTAGAGTTTTTGATGCTAATTTGAATTTGGGTTTGACAAGAATACAGAATACATAATGTGAATGTGACATGTTAAGAAACAATCCTACCCATTGAAAAGTAAAGCTGTGGTGCCTTCTTTTTCTCTCCAATTTTAATGAATTAGGTTTTTGCCTTTCATAAATTAACATAAGCTGGGCAATTTTTTAAACATATTTTTTGTTTTGATTTATTATCTACCGATTACACACCTTTTTTATTTTCTCTGTGTGTGATATATTGAGTTTGGAAGTAATTCTGTAAATTAAAGGGGTATTATTTTGCACTTACGTCAAGTTGATGGTTTAAACACACTGACAAAGATTGCTGGTTACCTGAGAACTTGATTTTTGGGCCAAGTTTTCTTGGTTTTAGTTTTTAATTTTGTAGTCATTGTAGTGTTATCTTATTGTTATGTCATAGACCTTGGATTTTACCTCTTGACCATGCACCTCCATACTTATGGAGTATACTGGACTACAAGTAACAGTATCTTTTAATTCAGTAAAGGTATTTTAATTTAGATATGATTAGTTTGCATTGAGACTGTTATGGGCATGGAATCGATGTCAGCTACTTTGTAATGAAGTATTATATTATCATTCAGGCTTTGGCCAATCATTTTTTTATTTTATTTTTCTTTGATAAGTAATTGAACCAGAAAAAATAATTTAACATACTAAAGATTAATAGATCATCCTTTGACTTTGCTTGGTCGTTATCCTTGGTGAAACATAAATCAATTGTTGAGTTTCTTAGCTTGACATAGTCTCAATATTCTGCTTGCACTGTTTGCAGTTCTGGGTTCTTGTGTGCCATGTATGATTACCTATATGTGATTTCATGTATGATTTCATTCCCTAATCTGAAAAGTCTGGAGACAGGAAAGAAATCGGGAATGTACTTATTTATTGTGGGTGATAATATTTTCCTTGTAAATTGGGAGCAGTCCTGTTTTTTTTATGTTTTTGTTTTTGTTTTCCCAAGGAAAAATAATTTACAATGCTGTATTAATTTGGGGGTATAGTGAAAGTCATTTTTGTAAAACTATTGCTAAGGAAAAGTTTGTCGTCTTAAACCAGTATATCTTATACAGTTTGTTTCCAATATCCTCTATGCAAGCATGTTGTGTGTTGTTTTTTTGTTTTTCAGTGTGTCTCAGTGACAAAATATCTTGGTAAAACATCTATCTATCTACAGTTTGTCTTGTTGGTCCTTCAGGAGGGTTGTCAGATTTCAATTCAGTAGAAAAGGTTAAATGTGAACTTAAAAATATAGTTGTTGGAAGCAAGACAATATTAAGCATGTTACCTACTAGGTAACTTCAACTTTTTGTAAACATTTCCTTCAGATGGAGTCTCTAAGCTGCTCTCCTCTTACGCCAAAAAAAAAAAAAAAAAAAAAAAAAGGATATGATAATAAAAGAGTGGGACATTACTGTGTAGCTGCTTGCTGCTCTAGTCCTGATGTGATTCTTCCCCACAGCCATCTTGTGATTTGGATTCATAAATGTTTTTTGTTTTATGGGAACCTATGTTTATCCATCTAATAAATATTCTTAGAATGATTGTTTGATATCTGTCAAAATTAATAACGCCTAGTGCTGTGTAGAGTCTTTTTGTTGTTTCTTATCTCCATGTGCTCTGGCTCTGCACTGCCGATCCAGCTTGTTGAATAATTAATTAAGGGAATCATTCCAAGGTTTGCCTCAAAGGTTTTTCTACTTGGTTCTGTACTCATCATTTTAAATCTAATACATACATTTCTTTTTCTTTCCTCAGTGTTGTGGTCACCATCAATCCGTAACGTAGGTGCTGAAACGTTCTATGAAGACGGAATGTTTAATCATCAACAATCCATTCAACAGTGGCATGAGGATCTCCAGCCTATTTTCAACTCGCGTCCTTCTCACGATTCAACTAGCAGTCAGTTTCCTTGTCCAACATGCGGGAAAGTGTATCTACGCAGCAGATCGTTGTGGAGACACAGAAATTACGAATGTGGCAAGGAACCTCAATTTCAATGCCCATACTGCAACCATCAAACAAAACAAAAAGGCAGTCTTAAAATTCACATTTTGCGAATGCACTCTCTTAAGCAATCAACTAAAAGAGATCGAAACTTACCTTCTGAAACCGCTGTATCTGCTGCCTCTAAACTGGGTGGTAGCTTCTGATTGTAAAATACCTTCCTGACAATTCAAACTAACACAATTGTTCTAAGTAATATTCTCTGTGACTGTGAATTTGAGAGATTGAAATTTGTAAACATAGTCTAATATATCAGTCTATCATGACAAGTTCTGCAATGAAGAGTTTTCAATTTGCCTTCGCCATGTTGTTAAAAGAAAATTTCACTTTTTTTAAACAGACATTTAGTTTACAGTTAGCTATACTCTTTATGTATAATATCTTAACATAATTAGTAAGTAACTTTTAGCCCAGTGTCTGTATCTTCAACTGTCATCCTAAATTTGCCTCATCACATCCTTATTGTTTCACAGGTTCACTTGTTAAAAACGAGTTTCAAGACACACACATTAACATGTCCAGAGCAAGACCAAACAAGCCATCCTCTGCAAAATGTGGACAATTCTACTGCCCTGAATGTGGGAAAACATTTGGAGACTACCATCTGTTATGGAACCATCTGGATTTTCTCTGCAACAAGCTAAATGATTTCCAGTGTTCCTAAATGATATGGTGAATTGAAATAACTTCCCACTTCTTACATCCTATTTTTCTAGAAAATGTTTGTTTTACATGTAGTATACACTATTGAAATTCTGCATTTGGGTCCTATGTGGCTCCAACAAATCAATGAATATTTGGAAAAATTCTTTTCAGTTGTCATACAGTTAATTTCACCAGTTTTTAAACTGGTTCAATTCTTTTTATTGTTCTTTATCCCTCTGTTCTCTATTCATATTGTCCTCCAATTTAATCTACAAATATATGATTAACTTACATTGTCTTAATCTTTCCCCCCCAGGTCTGAATCTTGTGAACAGTGATGTTCTAGCTTGTTGCTCACCTTTAAATTCACAAGTGTCCAGCCTAATCAATGGAGAATATGGACATGGTGCAGGTCAATTTCAGTGTAGTGACTGTGGAAAACGTTACAGCTATCAATCTACCCTTCGGCGTCACGTGAAGCTTGAATGTGGAAAGACACCTCAGTTTTACTGTGATCATTGTTCTTATAAAACTAAACGTAAATGTGACCTTCTTAGGCATTATGGAACGCAGCACCAGGTAGTTGTTGTGGATATGAAGACCTGAAGGTGGTTCTTTCTCTGACAAGTCTCTTTACATACATTTTTTTAAATGTGACTTATGTGATTGTTTAGATTTGTGCTGTCATTTTCAGGGTGAAGTACCTGTTTTGTCGTGATATGCTTGTTATGTACAGGATATCTGTTTTGCCCCGTTTTAGCAAATGTGTATTCTACCCAGCATGCAATCACATGGAGGATACAGGCTAGTATACACACTCGCTCCAATGGGCAAAGAGAGCACCCTGTATTTTGAGCCATGTACTGTCCACTGTACCCACATTTTGTGCATCACAATAAAATAAAGTGTGGATGTGCAAAAACTATAGTTTCATTTTTTTTTTAATGTCAACGTCTATCAACTTCCTTTATACAGTGTTCAACTAAATTTTCAAATATGTTCCTTTCAGCGCTGCTTTTTTTTTCTTTCATTTTTGTATGAAGGTATGTGCTTTGGTTATGCTAATACAGTCACTATTTTCCAGATCTTGCCTTGGGGCTCTTTCCTCGCTGGTGGCTCCCTAACTTTCAACGACCTGATATTTCTGGCTCGAGGCGATCTGGCATTGGAGATGGAACTGCTGAGGGTCACAAGTGCTCTGGCTGTGGAAAGACTTACCTCTGGAGATCTACATTAACAAGACATCGTCAGTATGAGTGTGGTGGTAAAGAACCAATGCATCAGTGTCCTCATTGCTCATACCGGGCTCGACAGAGGGGCAACTTAGGAGTTCACATTCGCAAGTATCACTCTCCTTCAATTGTTGATAGTCATTCCCCCCCAGGAAGGAATTGAAAAAAAAAATACTCTTGTCTTAATAGGATTGCAGCTTCTTAATGAGAAAAATGATTACAACTATTGGTGTGACAGTAAATTGTTGTCTCCCATTTCTTAGTTGATGAGTGATCGATCATAAACTCAATAGTGCCAAAGGCTGTAAATCTTAAATTGCAACCTTTACAGTAATTTTTTAAAATTACCTGCTTATGACTTTAACTTCCTTAATTTATTCAGTAAAACATATTGTGTTCCTTTTCTTAACATATTGGCTGCAGAGTGACCACGATTTGGCACCCTCTATGTTGTTAAATCATTGGTTCAAGAAGAAGCCCTGCAGCCGATGTGTTAAGGTTCTACATATAATGCCATGCCAAAGATTAATTGAGCTTACATTCCAAATTTTATCTTGGAGTGCCATTTTAATTATATCCTAAAGTATTAGCTAGGAAAAAGCTAGGCGAATCATGTGGTTTCTTTTTTATCACATTTTGAAAATACAGTATGTATAGTCCATGAACTTATTTTAATTAAATGTGTATTATCATACGATGTGGCCCACCTAAGCTGTTTTTGTTCTTATTATTATTATATAGGGAGTATATTCTGCTACAGCTGAGCACAGGTTGGTGGTGGTGGTGAGGAGGGGAATGTCGCTCCTATTTCTCCTCTGACCTGTGCCCTGTTCAAGCAGTCAGTTACCTACCCAAGAAAGTAATTTGGTTTGCTACTGAGTGTTAATGTAACGATTTGACCTTGGGATTTCAAGGGCAATGAAGCTACATGCCATATTTTTTAAATGAATGTCCAACTCACCATTTTCAGAAACTCAGAGAAAGCTTCAAATAAACCATGAAATGTTGTCCTTGTTAAGTACAATAGGATAGATGAAAACTTCCCTGCTCTAGTGTGCCATTGTAAGTTATGTAAAGTTAGCTGTTTCTCATGGCTAATAAAGTATTATGTAGTTCCTTTATTTTAAGAATGGAGTATTACTTAAAGTTTTGAAAATTGTGGTACTTATTTTGCCATGCCTTGTGTGTCAGTTCGACAGTGTGTTTAGGATAATACGGTATGTTTATTTCTCTGCAAATGTTGTTTTACTGATTAACTTTCCTCAATGTAGAGGAAATATTTTTATTTCTACTCCATCATTGAATGATAGTACAAAATCTTTATATTTTTTATTAATAATGGAGTGATGTATACGTTTGCTACCTTGTACATTATTTTAGTTATAAAAGTTTTCATGCCATTTTGTATGTTTCTTTTGACTACAATAAATTCCTTCAAGTTTCAGGTTGAAGTAATTTATCTCGAATATATTGAACTTTTAGGTTTTTCGTAAAATACACAAAACTGTTCTTAATATTATGTTCACTGTGCATGTTTTTCTGAGGAGGTAAGCAGCATTTATTTCTCTCTTACATTTAATTTTTGATCACTAATTATTTCCTTAATGTCCTTTCCAGTGTTCGATGAAGAGAGGAACAAGAGTAATGGGACCTTATCAGGTTTTGATTGCCCTGACTGTGGTCGAACTTATCGTTGGCGAGACAACCTGCGTCGTCATCAAAGAGTAGAATGTGGAAAGGAAGCGTCTTTCTGGTGTTCCATTTGTCCTTTCCGAAGCAAACATAAGCACAGTCTCCTCCGCCATCTGCATAACCGTCACTTTACCACTGCTGCTGCTGCAGAGGAAGCAGCCAATATGGCTATTGCATCTGTTGATCCCCCCATTAATGTTGTCAATTCCCCTTTCCTCATGCAAAGTAGAAACTGATAAAACTCAAAAACATATTGACTTGAGTTCTAGTCAATAGAAGATGTGTTTTTGATTGCCTAGCTCAAACAACAGCCCTTTTGTTCCCTGCTGGATCTTGTTACTTTGTCTATGTCTGGATCTTTGTCAGAATAGATCTTTTCGGTGGAAGACTACTGCAGACAACTCTTTGGCTTTGATTTGATCTCTTTTAATTTACCCATCCAAAAAAATAAAAAAATAAAAAAAATAACAAAGAGCCTATTTAAAATGTACACTTTTCAAATGTATGAAGTCATGGTTTTAACTGTTCTGTCACACTGTCTTAATTGTCATATGTGATTGTGATTAATGTGATATTCTTCCAAATGATCAATCTTAGATGCTACTGGCAAAAAATATAAACTGTACCTTTGTTAAATTTTGATCAGTTCATAGATCATTGTCTCTGCGTACCAAATAAATAACAAAATTGAGTATTTCTTTTTATAGTGTGTTTTATAAGATTTTTGTTATCAACTTTGTGTGTATAGTAGTCTACTTTTTCCAGCAATGATACCATTTTCGTTGTGTACTGTAAATCATTATCTGTTTGAAAAATAATCACAGAGAAGTGTTCTCCTCTGAACTAACAAAATGAATCTAACCTAATTTTGTAGATGTGGTTACTTTGACTGCCAAACATTAATTTTGGGAATTTGTAAAGTCTATTTTGTATTATAAGTATGGATGACATAAATTCACAGGTCAGGGAAGATTGCAGGATTATATTTTCTCAGCTTTTGACAGTACCTGGCTGCTCCTTCTCCATATCATGTATCTATCTATTCTGCTGAAAGTCAATTCATAGACTTCACTTGCACACAAACCTCAAATCTATTTTATGATTGCAGCAGTTGTTGCAGTTTATGTTAATATACTGTTGCTTGCAACAATATTTATAGTTCTAACCTGGTTTCAATTACTTAACAGGTTTTAAGTTTATGGTTTTGTTTCATTTTCCTTCTCTAAAAGTTAATATCTTTTTAAACCTCACAATTTATTTTGCATTGTGGCCTGCGCATAACAATTTGTTTGCATGCCTACCTTTGTATTGTAATGTCTTGCTCTGTCTTGATGCTAACTCTTTTTTTCTTGTTGCAGGAACTCCAGATATTTCCAAGATGGATGAGGAAACTCGAAAAATGTGGGTTGATTCTCAGGGTGAGATTGTTATGAATGATTTTGAACCGAAAAGACGTTTTCATAACCATGGTGTCTACCCATGTGACCGCTGTGGTCGTACTTATGTACGCAAAGACTCATTATCACGTCATCTTCAATGGGAGTGTGGTAAAGAACCTCAGTTTCAGTGCCCCTTCTGTCCTCAAAAATGTAAAAGAAAGTCACATCAACTGAGGCATATACAACGGCAGCATCAAGATAAAATGCATCTGTTAACGGACAGAGACAATGATCTTGAGGATCTCATTAAGTAACCATTAAATGACTTGTCAGAAATGTTGTCTAGTATGTGACTTTCAAATTTGGCGGTATCAATTATTTCAGTGATAAATCATTGATCAAATACTTTTGATGATTCCTCCTGAGTGAAATAGGGTAATTAACAATCCTATTATTATTTTGCCCTGCATATAACATTATATTTTTACCAATGTCTTTCCTTAAATTAAATGAAGATTGTTATTTTGTAGATGGAGTCTGTGAAGATTGTTACTATCAGTGTTTATTTTATAATCCCTGTTATAACTAGAATGTCTCTTCATTGAAATTTAAATTGTTTTACCCTTTTGCTCATGTTTTGTCTCCTTTGGGTTTTTGAAATGAAAGGTGTTGACCACTGAATGCAAATCTATACCTTCTTACAATTGTTTCAATGTTTGGTTTGCCTCATAGTTTTTATCTTGTTCTGTGTTTTATATTATATTCCAAAAAGTAATATTTTTTTACCTCTAGTTAAGTTTTAATCATATGTGGTGGGTCCCAATTACGTTCTATTAAAACACTTATCTTTCTGTTGTCAGTGCGAAAGAGTTAACACTAAGCCAGACTTATCTTTGGTCCTTATGATAATATTTTCTTTATCTTCTTCTTGTTTTGTTAAGTGGCATTTGGATGTAAAGTGTTGTTAACCAAAATTTTGGTGCCATTATCAAGGTAAAGAAGGGAAAACCATTAATTCTTTGGGATCAAATATGATTTATATTTAAAATTGAAGATCCTGTTTGTAATGCTCCCTTGCGAGCAGTTGATAAGATTCTATTAATGTTGATTATTTACAAAGATTTCTCAAAATATCTCTTGCTATGAGTAGTTCTTTTTTCTTTCAGATCTAACTTTCAGTTTAAAAAAAGTAACCAATTTTCATCTAATAAGTAATAATGTTTGTTTATCCTTTCTGATTGTCATACATGTCAGTTACAAATGTTGGTGAATGTCTTACTCTCATCTGTTACATGTTATTTTCAGTCTATATTGTTGTGTGAACATACAGTGCATTTCATAACTATAATTACTAAACCATTCTGGAATGTCATAAGGTTATCTATCATTAAAAAGTACAACTACAAAAAAAATTGTGCTATGCCATATTGGTTAATATTACTTCTATTTCAGGTGTATTACAAATTATTCTTCGAGATTAACTAAACCTACAGGAACATTGTAACATACATTTTGCTCTGTACATTTCATGCCAAGCTTTTGAGGTACTGGTTCTGCATAATGGTGTTGGTTTTTGTCTTTTTCTAGAGTGAACTTTCATGCATGATGTAAGGTTGAACAAGGGTACAATTCTTTCTGTCCCTTGAAAATCTGATGTTTGTACATTGCATGATATATGACATGGAATAAACATCTCATTCTGTAGATCGTATCCTAGTGACCTCACGCTATTACGATTTACTAACTCCCTTTATCTTTTTCAGGAGACAGCAGCAGAGACAGCAGCCCCAAACGTACTAGCTGGGGAGGAGTTGGACTTAATTGGGAAAAATGGGCATTACAACATCCCTTAATGCCAGTGATGTTGGCTCGGAGTGGTTCACCGTTGGATCTGGGCTCTGGGAGCTCTCTCCACTTTCCAGGAAGTGTAGCCAATGGGTCTGCATATGGTGGCAACAACTCTGCTGAAAATTCATTTGCAAGTGGGGGATTGGATGACAGCTTTGGACGGTCTGGAGAGAAAGTTGAAGAATGCTCACGGTGTGGTAGACGCTACAAGTTGAAGAGTTCTCTGCGCAATCACATCAAGTGGGAATGTGGAAAGGAGCCTCAATTTCAGTGTCCTTTTTGTTCCTATAGGGCCAAACAAAAGATGCATGTGGTGCGCCATGTAGAAAGAATGCATAAAGAGAAAATTGGTGCTTTAGGTACACCAACTGATTAATCATTGTCTAGTGTTGTATTTGAAATGATTTTCTTGAGGTAATATTATGTTTGATAAGATGATAAACATGAATGCAAGTTATTTTTGTCACAGGTTGTCTGATGTTATTAGTATTGTACAGCTGGCAGGAGTAAAATATTGGCTGTTCCTATCCTGTCTCAATACGGAGCATGATTGATCTAGATTAGAGGAAAATAACGATTGATGACATGCTTGTTAGATGGGCTGTTTCACAAAAAAGTTTCCCTTTTTTGTCTCTAAATGTTAAAAATATGTAAATGTTTGGATAAAAGAAGCAACACTTTAGAAAGCCTTAGGAAAGTTTGTTGTGATTAAACTGGTGATAAGAGTTTGTTAGTGCAAGCTGCAAGCTTTGCCCTCTGCTCTACCTTTGTTTATCTCTTGCTTGATAATGAGATGAAGGACTGATCAGTTTTACTTTATCCCGAAGACAATCAATATCCTTTAGTTTGCCAAAGTAGACGCAACCCAATTCCTTACAATGCATTCCTTTCTTTTCAAAGTCCATCATAGCTTTTAGAAAAGTTCCTATGATTAGTATTCAGGCTGAAAAGTTAATTACAATGTGCCTTATATTTTATAATTTTTATTATTTGCAGAAACAGTGAGTTGTGAACATGCATAGCATAATACTTCATATATCTCAAATTTACATATTATTTCTCACAAAATTGTTGTTCTTTATAGACATTTTTTTCTTGCAATGTTTGTAAAATGATGATTGATCTCAAAAACTTACATCAATGACAGATATATCTCTTCTTCTGGACAAATATGGGCTTTGTTATTTTTTTGGTCAATTTTTTACAGTGCTTACTTGTCTTATGGCATAGTGTGTAGGTATTTTATGTGAGTAATAAGCAAGGCAACTGAGGCAAAAATATGACAAATTCCAAAATTTCACAGAATAGTATGAGACACCTTTGCTGCCACAATTCACTTTGGCCTACTCTGGCCTTTAATTTGAAAATTATTTTTTGTAAGAACCATCACTCCAATTTACCCACTTACAAACCACAATTGTACTGTATGTGAAAGTTTTTAGAACTTGGTAACAAATTGCAGGAGTAGGTAGCACAAGTAAGTGCAAGTGATAAACCTTTTTATTTATTTTGTTCTGTTGTATCATCATCTTCCTTCATCATCTGATTATGAAGGGTTTTAATGATTTCTAGATATAATGCTCATTTTATTTTATGATGCTTCACTTACTAACTTTTAGATTAAATTTTATGTAAAAAGCGCTGTGAACATTTGCTTTTATGTCTGTTCTGTATTGTAATCTGGTGTGAGTCTGCCATATTTGTAAGAAGGGTTTGGTGAGATTAGGTTTTGTAATTGTAAGTTAGATTATTTTTTTGTTGTTGCCTTTGGGATGGCTTCTGTGTTAATAGTACTGTATTTTCTTGAGATTGGTTTATTATTTATTATTCTGACATATCATATTACTTACAAATTTTATTTGTTTTCAGTATTGAATGGCTAGATATAGCTTCCACTTTGACAGTACACTTCTGAATTTGCCAGCCTGACTGTTATGACAAGAATCTTATTCTATTTGACGTGGGGCCTGGTATTGATTGAAGTGAGTTTTTCATAATGACGTTCATTGTTATTTTAAAGTCTGCTATGTCTTCTTTATAGGACTTGAATATAATACAAATTTTGGAAATATTTCACTGTTTCCAAAGAAGGTGTATGTGAATAACTGTTGCCTTCTGAGTTCCTGTAGCATTTTCTATGAAAGTCTTTTTCACTTTTGAGTTGTGCTTGATGATAAATCAATGAGATTGTTTGCAATGCCTATTTCCTTTGCCTAACATGTGCTCATTGTTCCGTTAACTTTATTTGAAGAGACAAGTGGCTGTGATCAGGAAAGCTCCTTGTAAATGATAATCATGATGTCTGCAACATGAGAAGTAAGTTGTTATGATACATGTGTATCTGTATAAGTGGTATGTGTGTGCCCATACATCTCTACATGTTTGTTCAAACTCAATGTTAGCCTCTATGTATTATCTGCCCTTTGTGCAAGTCGTAATTTATATGCTATGAAGTATTGTTTTTACTATTGCTACATTGTTAGTAGTGATGAACCTCATCATTTTTCACACTCCTCCAAGTGTGTTCTGTCTGATTCTTAAATGGAGAGGTTTTAATTGCATCCTCTTACACACTAACTTATACAGTGTTGTACTGTACTAAACTTTTAGAATAATGTTTAATTTGTGCTATTTTACTTAAGTATTGTACAATACAAGAATAAGTAGTGTGTTGGGGAATGGAAAATGTATTACTACTAGAAGTTGTGTTTTATAAATTTTAAATTCTTGTCCTTAGTTGATTTTGGTGAAATTATATTCTATTATTCTAGATGCATCATAAGGCAAATAATTGCTTATGGTTTTGGGATCAGAATTGTACCATCAAAAATAATCTGTGGTGTAGGTGATTTTTAAAGTGCTGTTAAATGGACTCGGACTTATGAACGTTTGGGTAAAGATCTACAAATGTTTAACTATTTATCAGGGAGATTCCCTTGTTCTAAACTGGAAACTTTGTATTTAGAAATAATGAAATAAAGGGCATTTTTCTCTGCCTTTGTAATTTTTCAGCTTGATTTGTTGGTGTCCTTTCAGTTTAATCAGTTATTAATCCCATAAGCATATCTGATATTTCTTCGGTATTTTAACAGGAAGTCTTGAGAGGGCGTCTGGAAGAGGTGACATGTAATTCAATGTATGTGACCAATATTTAGGTTAATTTCCATTTACGTTGCAGGCGTTGCTGATTACATACATTTACCAGGATGGACTGTAGAAAAACCATGGGTTTGTGCTCAGTGCTCCCGAGCATACAAGTGGCATCGATCTTTAGCCAGCCATCAAAGAACTGAGTGTGGGAGGGAGCCTCAAATCAGCTGTGGATTGTGTGGCTATTCAACCAAAGTCAAATCAAATCTAAATAGACATATGAGGAAATATCACCAATTTTAAAAAGTACTTACTTTCAATAACGTTTCCAGTTTTCTCCTGTAAAGTTTTGAGAGAATGGAAGATTTAGGATGTTGTAAACTTGTGGCCAGGATATGATACGCCTCAGTAGTTTATTTAAAATTGTCATTTAATATTCTTTATCTTCCAGTGCTTGTGTAATCAGAATATTTTCCCGTTCAGTTTCTAAATATCTTTTTTTTTCTTTTCCATCCATGCAGCCTTATTTCATCCCCGGTCCGGTTTGGATGGTCGTGGACTGGATGCTGTCACATGTCCAACACCAGGCTGTAACCGCAAATACTACTGGAAAAATTCTCTTGCGCGTCATCTTCGGGAGGAATGCGGTCTGGAACCAAGATTCCAATGCCCCCAGTGCCCATACCGAACAAAACAGAAAGCCCCTATGTTACGCCATATAAGGATAAAACACAAAGATCCTTTTTCTGAACCTTGTTTCGTCGCTCAATAATGAAACAAACAGGGCAATTCTTCTTATTGTTAATTAATCTGTCTGTATGGCTTGAAGTTCTGTTCTGTTACAAATTCTGTATTGCTATGAAATAAATATTTTCCAAACATGTTGTTTTTTTTGTTTTTAAAATGGTGAATTCTTCTGTTTTTAAATTATTGATTAATTATTATCTGACAGATTGTTTTTGTTGCAGAGTCCAAAGTCTCTTCCATTCAAATTCCCAAGCCACCCAGTATTTCTGTGAAATCTGCTTCTGCTCTCCTGAGTGTCAGTTCAACTCCTCTAAGTGTTAAAAGCTATGTAGGTCAAGTGGCAACAACTGTGGAAATATCTGGACTTCAGGTCATGGCGTATGATGTTGGAAGTGTAACACAAACCTATATCTGCCCCTCTCCTGGGTGTGGGAGGACATATCGTTGGCAATATACCCTTCTTCGGCACTATCGTGAAGAGTGCGGACGCGAGCCTCGCTTCCAGTGCCGACTTTGTGACCACAGATCAAAGCAAAAGTCTACTTTAGTAAGACACATGTGGAGTGCTCATAGATTATTGGATAATAACTCTTAGGGAAGTGACGGCAGACAGAGCACCAGTTTTGGAGCGTGTATGTTCTTTGTGCATGGACTGAACAAACGATGGAAAGAGATGTGGTCACAACCAAAGTTACGTATCTCAGCTTTGCCTGCCGTCTTCCTCGTTGAAATAGAATCTGGTCCCATTTAATTTGAAGATTTGTCATTGATCGGCCTTTAAAAATTACACTGTTTTTCAAAATTTGAAGCAATAATGTATAAAAATTTTCAACCATGTGCCTTGATATTTTAAAATGTTTATCAATCATCCCAACATTTTTATCATAATTTATTGATTGGTACTTATGTAGTAATGCAGTTAACTCCTTGAACAAGTACTTTATTAGACAAGCTATAACATAAAAGTTTTGCTTGATACTGTTCACTTAAATCTAATCTACTTCTAATGAATATCTAGAATCCAAGACCTACGCAAGAATTATGTTTTAGAGCCTGAAAAAGGAAATTTCCACGGTGTCAAGTACATTATTTTGTACACTGGTGGTTTGTTTTTAATATTTTCTTCAAGGATCAAAAGTATAGCTTCTAATCCAACTCAAAATGTCTCAACGATATAGAAAAGGAACTAAACAATCTTATCTTCTTACTCAATGCTCAACTCTAGACATACTGCAAACAAAACCATGATTATGAGTTTTTTTGCCGCATGTGTGGGAGAGGGTGTAAATGAGATAACCCTTCAAAGGCACGTGAGAAGGGAATGCAGTCAACTTCTTAAGTTTCAGTGGTTTCTGTATGTATGTATTTTTTACAGACAAACATGGTTTAAATTCACATTTGTTGTAACCCCCGTTCCTGAAGATATTATATTTCATTCACCGTTAAATTTTGTAATACATTAAGGGTAGCAAATTTATTTTTAAAACTTTGTGACACCCCTGGCACCTAAGACACTTAATTCCTATTTTAATGAAATGTATTTTCAGAGTTTGGAACATTTTCTTGTGTATTACATGATTAACTTTGTTGTAAAAATTATGGGTTGACATTTACTTCTACATTTTACCCAAGCAGGTGGAGTTTGGATAAAGATTCTAATTTTTTTTATCCCTTTTTGCAGAGCGTAGGAGATCAACAAGAAGTTATGAGCAGAAGCAACACTTAGATGTGGACTTTTTGCTCATATCAAGTAAAACTCATTCTGGTGTATTTCCTTGCTCACAATGTGGAAAATCATACCGAGTAAAACATTCACTGACTCGTCACTTGAGGTATGAGTGTGGTCAGCAGCCAAAACACTTATGTACTATGTGTGGACGAAAATTTAAACATAATTACGATTTGCAAACCCACATGAAGAAGTCATGTAAAGAATTTTCCTCACTAGTTCAATAATAGTCGACGTTCACTTACATACAGTTTATTTTGACCTGATAAAAATTTAGTGTTTCTTTTCCTTTGAAGTTGTATGCTTATATTTATTTACCCTAGAACATCCTGTTATAATTATTTAATCTATATTAGCCTTGACTGATATGTTTTTGTTTTCTTTGCGATAACAGCAGTTATCTAGGGTATCAAAATGTTCCATTTGGCTTAGAAATTAGAAAATTGTTTTACTGCTAGGTGTGTTGTCCTGCCTTTCTCTTCATTTTGCCCTTCTGTTGACTGAGATTTCTCAGGTTCAAATGTAAAAATTGTTTTGTTCTTTTTTAATGTTTGAACTGTATATCATGTTTCAGTTTTGTTTCAGATAAACCAAAACCGCAGAAAAAAACCCAACAATTTTAGTTGTCAAAATGTCATTTCAAACGAAATTTGTGCCTTAGCTGTATTTGATGCCAATTGTTGAAAAGAGTGGAAGTTTTATGATGTTTCATGAATTGATATATTACTACCAAACCACAAAAGGCCAAAAATGTTACATTGTGTGCCTCTAAATGTTTTTCCTCTGAAATCATTGTTCTCATTATAGTAGGCCTACATTTGGACTGGATTTCCAATTAAACCTATGAAAAATGCACAGTTGTTTCATCATTTTGTCTCACAAGTGGAAAAAATTATCCAGCCATCCCCTTTTACATATACTAGATAATGACTATTCTTTCTATGGTTTCAGTTGTTGCAGCTGCAAAGGATGCAACTGCTCTTGCTAATGTGCTTCAGAAGATGACAACCAAAAACCAACTTATGCAGCAGTTGTGTCGCAGTGTTCCTCTTGATCCTATGGAACTGTCTCTGACTGATTTGGGTCTCATCAATCCTGATGAACTTCCTTTAGACTTACCTTGCCTACCACTGAAATCAATGGCTCATGTTGATGCTTTTGAAAACCTGTTATTGAATATAGCCTACTTCAAACAAATTGTAAGTAATCCATTGTCACAAATTAGTTTTTTTTTTTTTTTTTTTTTTTTTTTTAAAGAGAGAATACAGTGTGGTCCGCACACATCTTCCTTCATTTTGCTTGTACTGTACGGCGTGCGGGCGGGGATCCTACAGTGGCGCCTCATGGCCCCGTGCGAGTTTGCAACCCGTCCGCACACCTGCATCCGGTACAGCATAAGCAAAATATAGAAAGGGGTGTGTGGACCAACCTGTATGTTCTATTCATGTGTGGCAACTGTAAAATAATTGTCTTTCTTAGGTTTTATTTCTTGGTGCTCTTGGAGGTACTGACACGTTTGATACAACTCGCCGTGTCATGTCCAAACTGATGACTAATCGATTAGCAGTTTCATTTAACTGGGCGGGACGTCCACCAAAGAGAGCCTTTAGGCAGATGCTCTGCAAAAACTTAGTCATAAGTAAGCATTCCCAGATTCTGACAACATTTTCCTTCCTATTTATTGTTATTTTTTATTATCATTAAAAAAACCGAAATTTCCCTTTTCAGATGCTGTTCGTCAAAATCCAATGTTGCCTCAACCTGTATTAGAGTGCGAAATTGAGCAGCATATTAAGAAATGGCTCCGGTATGCATCAGGCAGGAACCAAGATATATAAATTCATAAGAGGTGACATCTCAAGTTTCCAAATTTACATATATTTTTCTTAAACTTTTTGAAAAATGGGCAACAAGCTATTTTATAATT